ATGACTGGCCAGCAGAGGATCCTGGAAACAAATTTCAGCCACAGTGTCCACCGGCCACTCCACAACGCCCTTCCTACTGCTTGTCTTAAAAAAAAAATAAAAATAAAATAAAATAAAAAAAATGATGAGAACTCTTCAAATCCCAAGAAACATGCAAGAAGGCTCAGGGGAACCAGCTCACAGAGTCGCTGAGAATCTCCTGAGGCTGTTGGGAGGTGATGCTTATAAAGGTGTGTGTGTGTGTGTGTGTGTGTGTGTGTGTGTGTGGTGTGTGTGGTGTGTGGTGTGTGGTGTGTGTGTGTGTTTCCCTGGTGATCCCTCTCTAACCCGAAAACCGTCTTTTGCTTTCATTAGTGGCCACGTCAAGCACCGCTGGAGAACTTAAATGAGGGAGGCTGAGCCCATGTCAGATCCGACAGAGGACCCACCAATGAAGGCTGAGACGTGTTCGGCCGCGTGTTGAAGCCGAGTGTCCCGAAGTGCAACGAGCTCACGGCTCCGGGACCTGGTGAGCATGCAGTCCCATGGCCTGGCCTGCGATTCTGCGTCTCTGGCAATCCTGCAGGGACGCAGGTGCCCAGCCATGGACCAGGTGCCCCATGTTTCGCTGTCAACAGCGAAAGCCAATCCTAATGCTACGCTCACTGCAAGTCCAGGGACTATAAGGAAAAAAAAGTTGAGCCCTGGCCCATGTGGCTCAGTGGAATGAGCATCGTCCCATTCACCAAGAGGTCGCTGGTTCAATTCCTGGTCAGGGCACATGCCCGGGTTGCAGGCTCCCCAGGAGGGGGCATGCAGGAAGCAGTGAACCCACGTTTCACTCTCATTGATGTTTCTATATCTCCCTTTCCCTTCCTCTCTCTCTTAAAAAATCAGGCTGGCCAGTGTGGCTCAGTGGTTGAGCGTTGACCTATGAACCAGGAGGTCACGGTTCAATTCTTGGTCAGGGCGCATGCCTATGTTTCACCCCCAGTAGGAGGTGTGCAGAAGGCAGCCCATCAGTGATTCTCTCTCATCATTGATATTTCTCTCTCTCTCCCTTCTCTCTGAAATCAATAAAAATATATTTAAAAATAAATAAAGAAAAATAAAAAACAATAAAAACGTATTTAAAAAAAATAATAAAGTTAAGAAAATACACTTTGCGAGTTCATGAGATTGGCGAGAGGCATCGATCACGCAGCTAACCAAGACCCCTCCTGACTGGCACAAGTGCTGGCCTGGGTCCTCTGAGGGGCACTGACTGTGCCCCTGGTGCCAACCTTATGGCAGACCTGGCTACCGGGCAAAGCGGAGAGGGAGCAGTGAGAACAAGGAGTGGTGGTTCATTGAGAGCCCAGTGAGGAGTGGAACTGGGGTAAGAACCCAGTCTCATTCCAGAGTCCACACTCTCACCACCAAACCACTGCCCGGTACAGGCCATGCGATGCCGTGACGAGGGAGGAGGGTATTTCAGAGCCATGGCACTTACTAGTGTAACTATGGGGCCTGAGCAAATTCTCCCCCCCCCCCCCCATCTCTTCGTCTTTAGTGTGGGCACATAACGGTTCGTGCACCTCGCTGGGTTTTCTGAGGATTAAACGAAGTCTAAATAAAGCACTTCACCCACTGTCTGACACATAATAAATGCTCCAGGGAATGTTATCCAATTATTACGATGAAGAGAACTTTACTGAATTATCTGAAAGGCAAGGTGCCATGAACGATGAATTAATTTGATTTACAACTAGTTTTCCTGACATATACAAAATATGTGGAACACACACACACACACACACACACACACACACCGGACAACTCTCCTCCTAACACACAGTATCAGTGCCTCCCATCGTGGGAATCCTGGAGGTCTAGTCATCAGCAGGGGAAGATCCAGAGTCCCCTGGCCAGACCGCCCAGGGTCAAACTCTGCTCTGTCGCTCCCCAGCTACGTGACATCGGCAGAGGGATTTAACCGTTCTGTGCCTCAGTCTCCTCAACTGCAAAATGGAAATCACCGACCTAGCCTGAGTGGTTGTGCACCAGATGAACGAACCCTTACAGTGCTCAGACCTGGGCCTGACACATTCTAATATTTCCTGAGGATACACTGTGATGACAAGTGGGTGCAGTGTGGCTAAGATTACTACAGATAATAACACTACAGATAATAACAAGCACAAAAAAACAGACGCCTTAATTCATTCTGCGACATCAACCTTCTTCCTAACGCACGTACCCGCCTAGCGACCTCCATGTGCGCGCAGGCCGCAGGCTGCGGTGGGGTGTGGGTAGTTTTGAATCCAAAGCCTTCTACGACCTCAGAACGGCCACAGCCACGGGATCCTGCGATACCGGGAGTGGCAAAGTCTACGGGAGGAGCCGCTTATCGGCAGCAGGTATTTATAAAACGGGGGGGTGCGGAGAGAGGTTGGCAAAGACAGCTAAAAATAGTCCCCCACGCAAACGCGTTTTGCAGACATCCATAGTCCATGAGAAAGCCAATACTTCCCATCACCGACAGGGAAATATATTCGAGATGTGTGCCGCGCAACGGGGGAGCAGGCAGCCTCTTGCCATCTGAGAGTCAGCCACATACCTGCTCCTTTTCCCTTCCCTAGAGCCTGTCCCAGAAAGTCTGGAGGTCATTCTGTAAGGCGCTGCTTTCGGGTCCAAAAGGGCACAGGCATTCCATATCGCGCTGCCACGTGCTCACCACAGGTATGTAACCGCATCGGCCCCCAGGGCTCCGGGCACCCACAGTGCTCCCGGACCAGCGGGAAACTTTCCCCGGATGGAAGCGATCCCCACCACGTCCCAACGGCAAGGCAGCCGGACCCCAAGCCCACTGTAACGGGCTATCCCTTCCAGATGCTGAACACACACAACGGGCTGTGGATTCACACTTCTCTCCCAAACCCAAGAGGAACAACAACAACAAGAAGACAAATCTTGAGAGTGTGAAGATCTGACTCTGTAATCTTCCTGTGTGCCTGCGAGCATTTTCCTGGCTGCACATTATCAAGAAGGCTGGCGGATCCGAGAAGCCAGCGTGGTCAGCTGTAACCCTTCCTCCCCCGGGGACCAGTGCCGGGCAGCAGAATGGGAGCCACAAAGGGGAGCCACAAAGGGGAGCCGCCTGGGTACCTGGTTAGACGCCCCATTTCAGAAGGTAAAAATGAGCAGGTGACCTTCCTTTCAGTAATGCATGGCATGGAAGCCAATGTTTCGAAAAGACTGTCCCTTCCACATGTAGTAACTATCCAGAACTGCCAACGGGACAGTCTACATGCCCATGCCATGTGCTCTTTATGATTACAGCATGTCACAGCGCACACCAGCCTTGCGTCAAGGGCTCAACAGCCAGGTGTGGCGACCATATTGGATAGAACAGTTCTCAGACCCAGAGACTGCCGAAGTCGCCAGTTTCCCAGGCTGCCTCCAGGGCAGACTTACAGGTAAAAGAGATAGACCAGCCCTAACCGGTTTGGCTCAGTGGATAGAGCATCGGCCTGTGGACTGTAAGGTCCCAGGTTCGATTCCGGTTAAGGGTATGTTACTTGGTTGCGGGCACATCCCCAGGAGGAGGTGTGCAGGAGGCAGCTGGTCAATGTTTCTCTCTCATGGATGTTTCTCTCTATTCCTCTCCCATCCTCTCTGTAAAAGTGTCAATAAAATATATATATATATATATATATATATATATATATATATATTTTTTTTTTTTTTTTTTTTTTTTTTTTTTTTTTAAAAAATCGGCCAACTCAGTCTGGGCAAGTCGCTGGATGGGTAATAAACCCCAATTCAAAACAGGCTCTGGGTATTTTAAGTGAATGGTTGGTACCCAGCGCGGACAACTGCTATTTACTTTTTACCCAATGCACAAGTATTTGCTGTCTTCATCCCTTTCAGTGAGAGCCCAGGTGCGTTTGGCCGCCGGACAAACCTCTTCTCAGGGGAGAGTATATCCCTCCCCTTTCCCACAGGAGCGCCAACGGGCAGACATCCGCGCGGACACCTCCCATCCACCCCATTCCACGTGGTTTCCATCCCCCCCCCCATACACCACCCCACGTGGTCTCCATGCACCCTCCCCCGGGGGCAGGAGGAACGGGATGCGGACAGGCTGTCCCTCCCGCCCCAGCGTCGGTGGGAAAGAGGACCTCCTCTTACCAGGTTACCACCCCCAGGCTCACTGCCATGCCAGGAGGAAGAGCAGAGAGTCTGCCAGGAGTCGTTAGGAGTAGTTATCAGAGGAGGGCTTTGCAGTTTGCACTTGGTTATTAGCATGGAGAAAGGACAGCCATCACTCCCGGCCGGGAAGAACAGACAGAAGAAAAGGCAGTGGCCTGAAACAGAGATGCTGAGCTGGGGGAGGTGGGAAGGGAGGGGGAAGGGGTAATGGGGACGCAGGAGAGCAGAGCCGAAAGGGACCCATGAAAACACTGGTTGAGCTTGGTTCTCTGGGAAGAGCAGAGGCCTGAGCCACCTCCACCCCCTTTTCCTCGAAACCTTGGGAAAGTCAAAAGTACGCGCGACAAACTCCGAGTGCAGGCGTCTCCCCTGTCCCATCCCCCATCCCACCCAGCACAGCTCAGCCCCATCTCTCCTTCCCGGGTCTCAGTGCGGCCTGAGCGCGCCCGGGGCCAAAGTCACCGGTCCGGGGCGCCCCGGTGTGGCTCCCGCGCCGCCCGGGCTCCTCCGCCACACCGAGCGGAGCGGGGGCCGGGCCGGGGCCGGCGCCGCCACACAAAGGGCCTGTGCCCGCTCCGGGGCCGCGGGCACCGCACCCGGCAGGGCAGCCAGGCGCCCGTGCTCCCCTCCGGGAAAGGCCGCCCCCTCCCGGCGCCAGCGGGGCTCCAGCGGGGCTCCCCCGGCGGCCACGGCCGCAGCCCCCACCCCAGAGCCGGGCGCCGGCCGCTCTGGGGAGAGAAGTTGGCTCGTCCCCGCGCGTCTCGCTGGCAAGACGGGCCGCGCACCCCGTCCCCGCGGCCGAGACCCCGGTGTCCCCCCGAACTCACCTCTCGTCCAGTCCACCACCTGCTTGGGGCTCCACTTGGTCACGGGCTCCATGGCCAGCCGCTCCCCGCGGGGCCGGAGTCGGGGGAAGTGCTGCCGCCGCCCGCGCCCGCGGTCCCGGGAGGCGCCCGCGGAGCCCGCGGTCAGGGCTGCATGGCCGGTCAGCGGTCCATCCCGGCGCCGCCCCGCCGGCCGCGGCCTCCCCGCCCCGGGACCGAGCCCGGCGCTCCCGCTGCCCCGGCCGGACGCCTCCTCCGCCTCCTCCTCCTCCTCCTCCGCGGCCCCGCCGGACAGCCCTCCCGGGCAATCGCCGCTCCTCCTCGGCGCGGGGCCCTCCGGGCCGCGGCCCGCCGCCCCTCCGCGCCCCCGGCCGGCTGGACTCTCCCCGCGGTGCCCGGGCTCCCGCTCCGCTCCGGCTCCTCCTCCTCCGGGCGGCGTGCTCCCCGGTCCCCGGTGTGCTCCCGGGCCCCGGGCCCCGGTGTGCTCCGGGTCCCCGGTCCCCGGTGTGCTCCCGGCCCCCGATGTGCTCCCGGGCCCCGGTGTGCTCCCAGGCCCCCGATGCGCTCCCGGTCCCCGCTGCCCGCCGCGGTCCCACCTCCCGGGCCGGAGCGATGGGAGCGGCGCTCGGGTTACAAAGTTGCAGCTCCGGCCGCGGGCCCGGGAATAAAAGGGGAGGCGGGGCCCGGCCCAGCGAAACTCGGGGGCGGGGAGGGCCCGCCCGAAACGCCGGCTCCGGTTACTTTCCCTCTCCAGCCCGGCGCTCCGGGTCCCGGAACTTTCCTTTCCGGGGGGCGGGGGGCGGGCACCCCGAGAGCGCGGGCTGCAGGGGGGCGCGGTGCGCGGGCAGCTGCGCCATCTGCCTCGGTGGGAGCAACGACACACGCAACACAAACAGAAGCGGGATCCGCACGTCCCGCGCGTTTGGAAAGCTTTGTGTGGCTATTGCTCTGCAAGGAGGCCTCCCTTGTTTTAAATGTCTTACGGTAAAGTTATTTTTTGCTTTATGTTTTGGATAGCAGCGGCCAGTGTCAACTCACTTCCCTTTGAACGCTACTGGTTATAGATTGATTGCTGGATTATAATATTCGTATTTGCAAAGTGAGCTCATGCACTTTTGGATTAGTCACGCATGATGAAGGGACTTTGTCAGCCAATTCCTCCCACCCCTCAAAAAAAAAAAAAAAAAAAGTAGCATGTGCACAGTGTCAGCGACCGACATGAGGAGGGTCCTTCCACATCTGTGAGTCTCAGTCTGGGGCCAGAGCTGCCCTGATCTGAGGGAAAATCCTGAAGTGTCATGTTTACTTTTTCTTCCTTCAATTGCACCCCCACCCCCACCCCCAAATCTCCTCTGCAGCCCCAGTGAGTTCTGCCTCCTGCTTAATGATTCTAACATGCAACTGTGGCTAATCCGTGCACTCCTTACCGGGCCCCTGTTAACCCTTGGAGGGCAGACCTGCCTGATACAGAGCTTCCTCTCCTCCCCCACTCCCACCACCTAGCTGGTAGCACCTAGTACGAACGGAAAGGTGGGGCTGGTTCTTATTCAATAAATACCTGTGAAGGCCTCCTATGTGCCAACCTCTGCTCTCCTTGAATGTGTGTTGAACTAGTGTGATACGCACTGTTTGTACAGGTCTGTGTGGACGCACATGCTGGAAAGCTGGCCAGCAGCAGGCCTCGCAGCCGCTGTATGGTGTGGTGAGATACATTATACAGGAAGAAGAAGCATTTTGAAAAGTAAAATATCAGAAACGTATCTATAGGACTGAGAAACCACAACAACACAGGTATGCAGCTATCGAATACAATGATTTTTATTTTTAACAAGAGTTATTGGCAGACCAAGAAACTTGGCAAAGGTGATGATAGAATTCCTGGTAGAGCAGTTGTCCTTTAAAAAAAAGTGTTGTTGTTTTTAACTTAATAGCATCAGTTGTTAGGTATCTTTATGGCAATAAGTAGGGAGAAGGATCTTGACACTTGTCATTGGATCCCGACGGGGGTGGGGGGGGGTAACGTTTTTAGTTACAGCAGTCACTATGTGTTGTGTCTCAGTGATGAGGATGAGGATTCAAGTAACCACATAATTTATCCAGATCAAGATATTACTGAATATGAAAGGGAAATCTAGCAATACTTACTTTGGGAAAAACACGAATAAATTGGGCCATATGGTCCCTGTGATTACGAAGAGGGGTCAACTGTTAATGACTTTGCCATAGAATTTTACCTGATGTTTTCACAATGTTTCTAAGTGCATTTCCATTAGTCATTCCTGGGGCATTTACAGCTAAAACTCCCGGTAGTCAAGCAAAAGTTCGCTAACTGTCATCCCATTGGGTCAATACACTCTGCCTGCGCTCAGGACACAAACACAGCCTAGCTGAAGAGGGAGGCCATGCTAAGATCTCTCACCGAACACCAATTAACCATCTAAACGAATTAGCGTGCTGTTTACACTTCCAGTCCTAGAGGCTGATGACTATTTAAATGAGGCCTTCTTCCTTAATTACAGCTGTGAGCCTGTGAACGTGGCAGGGAGGCCTGCCTTCTTGGCGGAGAGGCAAACGTGAAGGCGTCCAAAGCCACGGCGGGCGTCAAGGCAGAATCTGAGGACATTCATGTGGACACAGACGATCAGAACCGGGTTGGCAGAGCATCGGTCTGCAGACTCAAAGGTCAGTTCCGGTCAAGGGCGTGTACAGTTGTTGCGGGCACATCCCCAGTGGGGGATGTGCAGGAGGCAGCTGGTCGATGTTTCTCTCTCATCGATGTTTCTGACTTTCTGTCCCTCTCCCTTTCTATCTGTAAAAAATCAATAAAAATATGTTAAAAAAAAAAAAAAAGAAAAAGAAAAAAAAGAACGACCCTTTATAGCTTTGCTGCGTCTTCTCTGCTAGCTAGCTGTCCTCTGCGGCAAGGGGGTTCTATTGTATCTGGGAGCGCGTTCCCAAACCACAGCTGTGCCCTCTTCTTCAGGAGCACACCTCCGTGGCACCGGGGTGTTTACCACGGTTCCTGGCACTTCACCAGGCGCGGCACCAATCCTTTCGTAAGTCAGGCGGGCCTCGCAGAAGAGCTGACACTAAGCCTGGGCCTCCCGGATTTCTCTTGCCAACATCCTGCTTTCTTCTGACATTGTGTCTTCTGATGTGTTCAGATAAGGTGACCAGACGTCCTGCTTTTGGCGGGACAGTCCCAATTTCTAACAATTTGTCCCTCGTCCCGTGGCGTTTTAAAAAAAAAAGTCCCAATTTCTGGAAAGAATCGGGACTGTCCCGCCAAAAGCGGGACGTCTGGTCACCTTAGTTTAGGTCATTTATTCAATCCATGAACGATTTCCTTGTAAGACACTCACCTAGGCCCAATGAGGATTCTGCACACACACACAAGGAGCCCTTAGGAACCAAAAGGCACCCTGTGGTTTTGGAGGGGTGATGGGGTGTTTGCTTTCTGACCTAGACAAGGGGATTTAAGGATGGATGATATTCTCGTCCGAAGCCGGTTCATATGTAATTATTTGTTTATTTGAGAACTAGGGATGGAGCATTTTTTTATTCGTGTTATGATGAATTTGTTTGATAAACATAGGAGCAAACTTTTAAATAAATTTGTCATCTGTAAAGACCCAGTCTCCTTCCCCAGTCAAAACAATGGTTTCCAAAATGAAAGAAAAAAAATGAGCAAGTTAAGCAAGGTGCTCCAAATATCTCACAATCTAAGATTATAATTTTCTTCCCATCACATGGTTGTTGTTTTTTTACCATTTTCAGAACATACAAAGGTATGTAATATTCCCCTCCCATATCATTGCCTCATGCGTGTCTCTTGTGTTATCTTTTATCTTGAGAAATACTCATTCTTATCTATGACATCACCTCACTGCAAAGGCACTGGCTAACTACGTTATCCAGGCTGCTGACGATCCTGTCTTCCACTTAATTCCGTTTGGTCTGAATTCTTCACACCGTGGTAATGTAATTTCCTTCCTAAACGTGCCAGGCTTCCCATCAGATAATTAAGGCAGTAAGTCCTCATTTTTTGTTTGTTTGTTTCCTTAAGTCTCACAGGCGTTGCCCTGCTTATTCGGCTTCTTTTGATCATTCAGTCCCTTTAATGAAGTCATCCTACAGTTGGAAAGCTGATATTTGGCTTTTTTTTTTGTTTTTTATGAACCCTATCAGTAACTCAAGAGTTCAATGTCAAGTGGGTAGTAAACATGCACAAACCTCACCTCTTTTACGTCAGACTTAGAGACGTTGATTAAACTCTTCTCACACGGAAGAGCAACCTTGACACCAGTGAATCCCATTTCCCAGGATGTATCACCGTGTTTTTGGAGAGTCGTCCTACGAGGCAATCTCAAACAAGTGGAGCTCAGGAGACGTTTGTTCCCACTATCACATTGCAGAGGGTCCGAGGAAAACAGCGGGCCATCCCGCTGGTCCTTCTGGCGGCCCCCACCTAACTCTGTGGGACTCAGCTCCCAATAAGCACACGTAATGCCGAGAGCTTCAGACTCCACGACTTTTGTTTCAGACCCAAGTTGCAGGCTGATGATAACAGACAGGGGGGAAAAAAAGGGGAGGATTGATGGAGGTCATCCTACATCTCAACATAAAACCACCATTTCGTTAGCAAAGCACACTTGTAGCAGGAGAAGTAAAAGGCAGATCGCGAACACACCAAGCTCAAATTTTACAGAATTCTCTAAAGCGTTAACAAGAAGAGCATCAAGATCATGTTGTGTTTTTCGAATTTGAGTTTGGCACAACAGAAATATTTTATAATGCCACTTTAAATCAAATCCAATAAAGGCATACAAATGCGCCAAACTATAATTCAGCACCATTAATGAACTTGGGGTTCCATTTAAAGTTTGCTCTTCGTTATTGAGCTGCAATTGCACGCAGAGAAGGAACGTTCTTCTAGTTTTATTCTATCGAGGGTATTTTAATTCTCCAGCCCCTGCTAATCAACACATCCAGATTTTCCACTAAAAGCACATTTATGCCTCCCACTTGGGACCCTTAGACATGTGAGCCTGTAACGGGACCCTATTCCTTCATTTTCCACGACACCCTTGTACTTGGAAATGCTACAATCATCTGGCGTGGGAGGGAAAGGTGGTAAGAAAACGAACATATGAGAAAAGCAGGAAGCGTTTCAGTCCGCGTCAACATCAAAGGGAAGGGACGAAAATTAATACCAATCAGGCTTTTCCTGCAGGCAGTTAGATGATTCCATAGGACTCTAAGAGCACTCCCAGAGGCCTCATGGAACAGGAAAACGCACACTTGTTGCCAAAAAGTCAGCAGAATGGCTGTTGAAACCCACAACCAGCTCA